TCAGATCTTGACGGCGCCACCGTACGTATTCGCCGCAATCATCACTTACACCACGGGCTGGCTAGGGGATCGATACATGCTTCGAGGTCCCATAATTGTTGGCGATATGGTCTTGTCAATTGTTGGGACCTGCCTGATGGGCTTCCACAGCGATGTTGCCGTTCGATACTTGGGCGTCTTTCTCATCACCGCAGGGAGTGTAAGCGCTGTGCCGGCGACCATGGCGTATCAGGCGAACAACATCCGAGGACAGTGGAAGCGCGCATTTTGCAGTGCCATGGTAGTCGGTGTTAGCGGAATTGGTGGCATTGCCGGCTCTCTTGTTTTCAGGTACGTGTGTTGCAGACCTAGGTCACATTCCATGTGTGCGACACAGCTAGGGTTCTCCCTGATATCAAATAAGCTCTTCCCTCAGTAGGTGAGCGAGATAGTAACTTGGTAACAGAAGTCAAGACAAGCCTCATTACCTACCTGGATTGAGCACTTGTCTGGGATGCGCGGTTCTGAACGTCATAGTTGTTATTGCTTTGAGCTTTTACTTCCGCTATTGGAACGCGAAGGCCGAGCGTGGTGACGTGGAGCTCGAAGCGTCGGATGTAAGTTGCCTCTCGACCCACCTATCTACCCATACAGATCGAGCAAACCATACATAAATAGTCTTTGCTAACTCGTTGATCACTCCAGGAAACCCAAGCATCGGACTTCCGCTACACCTATTAGGCGCTTATCGCAGAGGTTCGAACTTACACAGAGCACATCGTTGATGCAAACTCATCAACTTGATTAGGGCGTTGGTGGTAATTCTGTATTTGACACATGAGCATGAAGCAACAACGTGGCGTTTGAGGCGTATATTTGGTAGATCAAAGACGCTGAAGAGCGCATAACCATACACATTCGTTTCCTAGCTTTCCTTCACTTGAGCCCAAGGGCTCCAAGCCCAGTACTGTGGGTTCGAACTCTATCTCTTCATCAAAAATGCCTTCTCATGTGGCTCTGCGATTCCGAACTCTGTAACAGATGTTTTGACGCTATGTATGAGCTCGAATCCCAGCTTTTCGTACATCGGTTGCGCAGTCTTAGTAGCCATTACCCAAACTTTCATCCCGACTACATCAGCCTGTTCCAAACCACCTTTCACTAAAGCAGAAGCAATCCCCTTCCGCCTGTGATCTGGGTGGACCGTAAGATAATCAAGAACTGCTACAAGTCAGCTGACGTGAGCGTAGTCATTGAGTTGAATGTACCTACCCAGGAACGGGCCTTCTTGTGATTGCATTACGGCAGTTTCAGCCTGCTCAAGAGGCAGTCCAAGAGCAGCTTGTAGCTTTCCATCCAGACCCCTGATAGAACCGCCCTCGTTATTGGCCTGGAAGGCTGCCTTGAACTTATCAGCTTCATCTTGCCTGGGTTCCCGAACAGCTGCTTCGGGCCAAGAAATGCGGTCATCATCATCGGGCAGGATCCACCGTGCGTAGCCCACGACTTCACCACTATCGTCATCAACGGCTTTCTGATGCCTCTTTTTTTCTCTACCGCCGGCGAGGCTGTGGGGCATACGAGCTGTGGCACCCTCGATGATCTCATCCAAAGGCATCGACTTCCAGAGCGCCCGCCAATGAGTATCGGTGTGATAGAAGGCCGTCATGTTGTTCTTCGAAATTCCAGCAGCGTCGTCGTAGGTGACGGCTGAGATACTGAACGTCATGATTGAGGATTGCAAGATTTGCGTAAGAATTCGAGTTGCTTCGCTCAATAGTTCAAACCAGGACTGAAGAATCTCAAGTTACACTTTGAAAGATTACCGGGTATTTACTGAAAACTGTAATTCCATGCCACTAAATACGTGCGGAACAGCTGCACTTTTACAAAAACTGGATGCTGGTGGCGTAAATCTGTCCTTCTCAATGGGGACAGTCAAGTAAGCTTACATGTGTCCTCACCTCTCGACTAGGCAGCAGGGGACCAGGGGTCAGATAGGAAGAACACTGTGAGGCGACCTACTGGACTGGTGCTTTTGATCGTCCCAATTATCATTAACCATCGCAAAAACCTGAGGGTGTTCTTTTATGTTGCAGCAGCTTGGTTAGTCTACCTGGCCAACACATGTTGGATTCGCAACCTTCATGCACTTTTAGAAGTCTGCAAAAATTGATGAATTGAAATATTTCTTCCGTCGTATGTTACTAGTGACTAAAAGTGCATGGATCAATTTCTCCAGAACTCCTCCCAAGCTTCCTTGCAAAGAACATCTCGCGTCCGTTTCAGGAGCTCACCAAACTCTGCCGGTTCTTTGCCCTCCAAGAGAACTTTACCATCTGAAACTCCTCTCCAGCCCTCGACAGGTAGTTTGAGAAACTCATGTAGTTTATCGCAAATCGGCATGGCATCAAGTTGCTTCTCGGCTACCCCATCTGTGGCTCGCTTGTTGTAGCAATCTGCGCAGAAGAGTACGTCATGACAGACCATACAGGCGTAAGCGGTTTTCTTCCCCCACCAGGAGAACTTTTGGCCGCATGTTCCATCACAGAACAATTCAGCGCCTTCAATGAGGTCACCTTCGTCGGTCGGCCGATCATCTGCCTCGGCATCTGTTGCGGAGTCTCCATCGTCTCCAGCGTCATCGTCGGAATGCTCGTTAGCCTCATCATCCATCAATTTGACCTTTGGGTCAAGGTGACAGAACACAGCAGAGTACATGGTGCGCGCCATGGTGTCAAGTTCTTGACCGTTGCGTATGGAATTGCCAAGCATGTGAAGAGCTTTCGACAGGCAGACCAAATTGTCTGCATCATTCCAACTGATCGTATCACTGAGTGCGTCAATACAACTGATCAAGACACCTTGCAGAGTGTCCTGAAACTTGGTGGCGGGGCCCAACTTCAGATGCATCCGAGAGAGAACGATCAGGCGGAAAGTGAGATATGTGATTGAAGTCGGCAGTACATCCAGGGCTAGAGGACGGCTAAGGAGCCCTTGGACAGTAGCAAGCAATTCCGTCTTGTGCTTCGGGTCGTGGGAGCTTCTGAAAATTCCATACAATAATTCACTGTAGTTGTCAACCGCACGAGTAACAGTGTAATCGGGGGACGAGTCTGTGATGGGGTACGGATAGCCTGTTGAACCACTATCGAGAACCTCATCCAAAGCTAGTCTTGCTGCCTCGATGTCCCCCGTGACATGCTGATAGAGCAGCGAAAGATCGATTCGTAGCGGTGCAGCTGCATTGACGTTTTCCAAGTACTGAATGGAGTCCAGGTATAATTGGAGGACGAAATCAACTTCTCCGGATTGGACGGCGGCATCGCGGAGCAATCGTGATCTATCGTCGTGGCAGTCGTCATATTCCCAGCAGAGCCAGGTCAGTCGCTGTAGCGGGCTCCAGTCCTTCAAAACATCGATAAAACCCTGCTTGCTGTCCTTCTCTGAGAACAGATCAAGTTCTTCGTTCAGAATTTCCCCAGTCATCAGGGTTGTCGGATCGGTAGATCTTGCATGAGCGTAAGAGATCGCGGCTGCTTCATTCATCTCCAGCTTTGCCTCGACCCTCGCCTTGGTGATACATACTGTGTGGCGCAAAGATAGCGGAACAGTTTCGTCGTCCATCTTTTCGAAACACTCGAGAATATCACGATGACTGGCCTGCGCATCATGCTCCAAACGAATTCGGGACATAAGCTCTCTAGTTCTGACGATGTCGAGAGTCCCATTGAGGCCATCCAGCGCATTTTGACACAAGGTCTCTGCAGGCTTCAAGTATTTGAAGTGTAACATGAGAGAAGCAAGTGCGCGGTATCCTGTGGGTTCCACCTTTACGTCTTCAAAGAGACCTTCGATACCTAGGACACCTTGCTTCTCGTTCAGAGATTCTCCCATACTTCCGATCTCAGCCTCGTAGTTTTTCTTGGCCTGCTGCAAAAGAATAAGGTCCAAATTGCTCTACTCGAGTCAATAGGGATCGTGAGAAGGAAGAGGTGGAACTTACGGTCTTGATGGCATCCCTCGCTCTTCGGTAAGAAGACAAGGCAGTGTCGACACTGAGAGAAACGTAAATTTGCCGCAAGTGAGCCTTCACGAGAGAGGTCAAACAATTCCGCGGGTTTTCTGAGACGTTCTCCCACCACTCAACCGCATCCTTGTCTAATTGCCCTTTGTGGACGCTGAGGAGTTGACTCCATCTTGAGATTCCCTCGAAAACTTCGTCGGTGAATGTGCTCGAGTAGCTAGTCCCAGTCCACTCCATCATCCGTGAGAACGACTTTTTATTCGACAAAGTGGAAGCTAGCGCCTCCATGACCTCGATTTGTTCCTCAGCGGTATGACCTTCAAAGTCAATGCGAAACCAGTGTGATACAATGTGAGCCACTGCATAACGACTAAGGGCACTGGATATTGGGAATGGGTAATGGCCTGTAGTGCAGGCAAGCTTGGTGCAGTCCAGAAACATCTGCCGATGAATCTCTGACGGCCTTATGCGGTGAGCATGGATATCGGTCTTGTCAGGTTCTTCGATAAAGAACGATCGCATCGAGCGCTCTTTGAACTTCACTGGCAGCTCACCATCATTGTAGATGGCCTCGCGGTCGACAACTGTCTGCGTCTTTTCCAACTCGCTTACCGCTGTGCCCCATCCGCCCTGAGCTTGGATCTTGACGCGTTCTTCAGCATCGGAGCCAGGGTCACCGACCTGGAGAAAGCTCTCGAAGGGTTCGGGGACCTTTTCAAGGTCGAAGTTGACGTCATTTACCCACAATCGTACCAGTGAAACCACCTCGTTGAGAGTCAATGGTCGGAAAGTGAAGGCTAGCCAGTGAAGGAGCTTAGACACAACAGGCTTGTGCTCGAGCTCAGTTCGACGGTAGCAGTCAGTCAACAAGCCTTCATAGATCCCATGAAGTCCCGAAGGCAATGGCTTTTCCAGGTTCCGGATAACAGCGCCTTCGCGGCCTAGGTTGTCAAAACGCGCAAGCATATGCGCAGCGTACAAAAAGTCTAGGTCGTTAGTATGCCACGGTACATCTTGGTCGAATGAAAACCTTACTTGGGGCTACCTCCTCGACTTTGTCGGCAATACGTTGTTGGACGTAGCGATCGAACTTTCTCATGGTAGACAAGGAATTGATGTTACTCCAGATAAACGCCCTCAGGTCTTCCTTCTGGTTTTCTTTCGTGACATTGACCGCGAGCACGGATGATGATTCTTCAACCGTGGAAAGAACCCCTGGTCTAGACGTGAAAGCCACAGTGATCTTCAGATTCTCCTCGCGTATAATTTTGAGAAAACTAAGAAACTGGGTGAGATCATCGAGTTCATCAAGCCCGTCTAAGAGCAGAAGTAGCTTGAACTTGGAAGCTTTGCCAAACGCAGGAACCAAGATCTGACGAATGAGCGATTCGGCGACATACGAATTCATGTCGAAGCCATCCTTGATTACCTCTGCATTGACCAGCTCACAGAGCAAAGCGTTCTGTTCGACAGCTTGAATGATGACAGTTGTGATAGCGTTGCAGAAGTTTGAGAGACTGGACGATTGTTCCCGGAAGTAGAAATGTGCGGCACAAGTAAGCTTCGAAGTGTCGTTCATGGCTTCACCAAGCAGCCTTTCGTAGACTGTGAGCCCAATGTGGCTTTTCCCAGAGCCAGGTTCGCCGGTGATGGCCAGAGTCAAGTGGTCGGCTTGGCCCTGCTTCAGCCACTCGTCCCATGCGGGCTGCAAAAAGACCCAAGTGCAGGTGTCCTTAACAAGCGTTTCCTTCAAGACGAGGTACTCATGGCCTTCCCCCTCTACCTCAACTAGGATATTGCGGATCCTCTTTGCAGATGGAGGCTTGTTTTGCTCCACCGCCTTGGCACGTTGGTCATTGCCTCGGTCCTTCTTTTCTTCGCGTTTTTGGTCATTGAAGGCTTTCAGCAACTTCGCCATGTCACTTTGAATCATCTCGGTGGTGTCACGAATCGAGTTCATGACCTGCATCTGCTTCTCCAGCATTGCAGTATGTGTTTCTTGGTTGGTCAACAACTCTGTGCTCATCTTTTGGATCTCTTCCGTGTTGCCAAGGATTGCAAATTCTGTCGCTTGCTGGAGATGTCGAATCTTGAGATCCATGCCTTTACGAGCGCTGCCTAACTCAGTATCCTCGCCGTGAAGAAGGTTGCTGATCCACTTCTCTACCATAAACATTAGAAATCTTGAATGAGTGATCGGTATTATTTTCATTTTGTTCCTTGACTCACTGAAACGGCCTAGTTCGATGAACTTATGGGCAAAGCCACACATGACTAGGAAAGACGTGAAAACGTCCATGAGACAGTTTTGATAACCCTTGTGTTTCGGGAGTCGGGTCTCGAGAATCGTGATACGCTGCAAAAAGCTGTTCATGTCTTCAAAGAACACCATCACGATGTCATAGTCTGCCGAGACTTGGCGGCATGCCTGGATTCTGAATGAGCATGGTCACGACATCGAATGACGAAGAGCAACACCCACACTTAGCATTATGGTGACCGCAGTGCCAATAGCTGCAGCTGGAGGGAAAGCTGGAACGGCTGCCGAGACGAGCTGCTGTGCGCCCTTTTCGATATAATCGAGATTGGCAGCAAACAGGCTTCTCAGTTTGTCCACTTTCTTGTCGTTATGGCGAAACTTGTGAAAGTTCTCCATCTCGTGGGTGCCTTGATTAATCATCGCCTGAACGTTATCGAACTTACGCTCCAGGTCGAACCCTACAATCCCTTTGTAGGCCTTGAGAGCCTCTTTCCATAAGTCGGAAACATCGCGGTTGTCGTTATTCACCGCCTCCGACACTTCCTTTTGGGCAGTGCTGACTGTCATTGATAAATCTGCTTTCAGCACAGGTCTTCGTTGCGCATTGGGCAGATGTGGAAGGTCTCAGTTGATTGATGACGGGGATTCGTGTCTTATTTGTAGGCTGTATTCATTCAAGCATTGAGTCGAGCTACGGAAAGGAAGGTAATGAAGTTGGGGACGCTTTTGAAGCTAGACAGGGCACGTAGCGCCTAGTCGGTATTTAGTTGCAACATGGCGCGCGAATGGTGGCTCACGGATATGCAACTCATGCTGACATGCAGCATCAGCTGAAGCCCAGAGGTCACACCCTCGCCAATCCTTTGACCTAGTGACAATTATTCAAGATGTACCGTAATCTGACATAATCCAGCCAAATGTCGTATCCAGGTACGACTTTCCGTTCACAGCAGCCCTGCATCAACTCTGTTTACCCTCAATGGAGACTGCACAACACAACAAGACTGTCGCCCCTCAAGCACCAAAGCACCTATATGCCCTTGTCCCTGACTTGCACATTTTACTAGACATAGATACTGGTACAGTAACGGTTGGTGTGACTGGCAGGCGAGCGAGGACATTTTTGTGTTTACTAGAGGGTTCAGAGGACGAAGCAGTGCCTCCAGCAGCTTCTTGGTGGACTGAATTACTGCGTGAGATACCGACCAAATGATCTTGAATCCATTGAGTCTAGAAATTGTTGGATGACCACAATTCATAAAGGGCTTTATTTCTACACAGATGCTCTATTCGTCGGCCATATTAAGTACAAATAAGACTCCAGGAACACAAGTCTAGCTGTAAGATTCTATCCCTCGTTATGCAATTCTCTGACTTCTCTTAAGGCCGACGCGTACTCAAATCTCTGAATAAGGTCTGGAAGATGAGATGGAGCTTACCCGCCTAGCCTTCAAATACTCGTCGCCTGCAGGCCCAACCTGACCGCCACAAAACTCCGCCTGAAAACGAAATCTCGTGCCAATCGAGACAAGCACTTGGACAGGGCCTTGTTCTCCTACACATCGCCAAGCTAGACTGGTGCTTATAGAGCGATCCGTCAGGGGTACACGGTGGAAGAATCTGCCGATCTATACTCTTTCTCGTATATTCTAACTCTATCCTAAATAAATCCTCTACCTACTTCGTAAACGCTTGTAGCGCTTCTTATCTCTTATGCCTTGATTCATTCCCATACAATACCCTTTGAAAGCTGAGTATTACTGTCAGTTAGTATAGTTTATTCACTTTTCACCATCGTCAAGGAGAGATAGAGACAGAGAGTGGGCCGGGCCAACATTCGTCACATGAGAAGTATTGCGCTAGAACACATGATCAGGAATCGGTTGATCAGTAAGTAAGCGAGCTAAAATCGGGTACAGGTTTTCGATCTAATGATCCAAAAGGTAGCGCGGCCGGGAAGTCGGAGTATGGCGATCGAAGATCAGCGAGGAAAATCGTGAAAGGTTGTTTTGTGGGAAGTTTTGGCTTCAAATGAGCCTATAAGTAGATCGCTCAGACGCTTGGTACAGCATTGGAAAGCTCGCGGAGGGGCGCAAAGGCAGCTGCGCGGTGAAAGGGCCATGCACTCAGCGGCTAAGGTGTGGCATGAAGAGGTGAATTTCCAGAGCGATTGCACAAAAATGGGACTAAGAAAAGTTGAATGTACACTGAGAGAAGAATAGTCTATTCGGAATCACCTGAATGGTAGCAATGCTCGCACGTCCGTTCAATATCAAGGATGAGAATATGGGGGTTGATGGACGTTCTTCCCATCGAACTTGACAGAAATCTGTCGGAGATGTTCAAGCTCGATGCCATCAAGGACTCGGACATTGACTGGCGTCCCCCCCTTGGATTTGTTATGCCAAAACTTTGCATTTTCAGACAAGGCATCGTGCTCCTCCTTCGTCAGTATGTTGTGATTGTTTGTGAGGAACACTCCACATATTTTGCAAAATGACTTCCAAAGTATGTGGTGGCTGAATTTGTATCGCCCAATATCCTTCTCCTCTCCTATCAAGTCAACACTTTCGTCTTGGGGATATACCCAAATATATCCGTTCTTCGGCCAAGTCAGCAAATTACTGAGAGACGATCACATGCGATGAAATACTTACCATCTCGCAAACTCTGCAATTGCATTCTAGTACAAGTCCTTTATAGTCCTTATCGAGGGTTTCGCTACGCAGGCGAAGTGTCAACGCTCCGCAGTGGCAACCTCCCGTATAGAGTTTCAAGCTTCCCAGTAGGGGAGTGGGTTCAGCCGCTCTCGAAATGGAGCAGTCTTGAGAAGAACTGTGCCCAGCACAATCCGATCTATACAATGTTATTATAAGAAATCGTTCGAACTCGGATAACTCATTCCATACTGTTCTAGCTTCAGGTTCTCAATGTCGATGGTTTGAAACGTTCGCGCCTATACCATTAGACCTCGGAACTCATCTAGTAGAAAGCACCACAACTCACATTGAAGGCTATCTGTGTACCAGAAGGACCAATCTCCATCACAGAAGTAGCGCAAAGCCCGCAGAACTACGAAGTGAGATTGTATTTGCCACGATGGATCATCGGGGATTCTTACCTTATAAGTAGCACCTTCCGCGCCGAAAGTGTAGCTCGTAAGAGAGCCTTCATCACCTTTAACGAAAGTGACATCATCTCGGCAGGTATATAACCATAGGTTTGCCTTTTTGATGCATAAGCTACAACCGCACTGTGTTGCTATGCTGGGTTCTGAAAAGTGGACAAGGTACACAACCGCAGTGCAGTGACAGTTGCCACGCATTGATTGCGTTAGCTCGTGAGGTTCGTCCATGTTGTAAACGAATCTCAGATGAAGAAAAGTGGCTGAAGAAGTTCTATGAGAGATTCGGTGCGACTTTATATCAGTCTGAGCTGGGCTCATACTGATCTCCAATCCGAGATGAAGATGCCCTTCCGTCGGGTTTGAAGCTAGTGGTTGAGCTGCGGATTTCACAGATCCACCTAATAGACTACTCGGTTTCGGTTTCTCTAGTGTTTTTACATCGGCTAGGTTACGACGTGCCGGGACTTGGCTTGTGCATTCTTAAGTGGCATGTCACTGTTAGGCCATACTGTGCATGTAGGGAAACGAAAGCCTTCTCAACTGTCTGGCAACAGGAATGGATCATATGCTGATAGCTTGTAAAACTCTTTGAAGGTGCTACGTCCATGGTCGTCGCGCTTTACACACCGAATTTCTGAGGCAGAGCACAAGTATCATCCGCTAGTACAAGCTCGTTTCGTTTGGCAACCACTGATCTCGTTCAAGCAAGAAAAATTAGATTGACGCTCGATTACCGTCCAAAGTGACATGTTTCTCCACACTGGAGCGCTACGACAGGATTGTTTTACTGCGCTACGGCGGTGAAGATTGCACAACGCTGATAACCCGCGCGCTTATGACTCAGTGAAAGTCAGTAAGCTATTGTGCCCCTACTTACGGTGCCACTCCCTTGGTTCCTTACGTCCGAGGACAAATTAGAAGAGAACTCTAATGGTTTCTAAGAGTATGCACTGCCTCAACAAAAACATTCAATGTGCAATAGTTGCTGGGAGACGGTGCAGAGGCTCAACAAATACGATTTCAGGCTGAGAAACGCAATGCGGCTTTCGTAAACAGAAGGAGATGGGATTCCGTGGAGTTCAGGCTTCACATCATTCAGCTACTCGGTCGATTGTGACTTTCTTCTCTCGTTCTCGTCCCTAAGTTTGACCCGAGCAACTGAACGCTAAGTTCGTATGGCCTTTTCCGTGTTGCAGATACTTGCTCTCCCCCAAAATTCTTTTATCTTTTTTTGGTTCTGTAAACAGTGTTTGATCGATGCTTGGCACCTGGCGAGTTCCGAAGACTTGAGGATACGGCATCCTCAAGTACCTTAACCCAGAGCCTTGCTGCACTCGGCATCCAGAAACCGCATGTCTTTCTCGCCTTGAATCAGGTTGGTCCAAACCATTCCCGAGCTTCCCTTCCCTTCCCTGCCAGAAAACCCAGTTTGAACCTCCGGCGATACAAACATACATTTGGCCATCTCTCTCAACACAACAGGGCTTCGACGTCTGTAGTTATATCGATATAAGCTAGTATTAAAAAGTCTTATACGTATTAAAATAAGTAAAGCTCGCCCTATAAACGGTTATATAGTAAAAGGTCGGGAGCTATTAATAAAAAAGATAATAGTCAAGTTAGTTAATTACTACTTTAGTTAGTAGTTAAGTATATAAAAGAACTATAAGATAAATTACGTATTAATAAAATAAGGATTATTTTAAATTAAATTAATTTAATACGATTTAGGGCTAAATAATTATTTTAAATTAGATTAATTAAGAATAATCTAAGAAATAAAGGATATATTTAAAAACGAGACTTATATATAAAATAAACTTAAGCTAGGCTTAAAAATAAACTTCTATAGCTTCTTTAATAATTAACTTAGTATTAAATTTTATAATTATTTTTAGTTATTTTATTAAAAACTTATTTTAATAAGATTATAATTAATTACTAAAGCCTTATTTATTTTATAACTTATAAATATAATTTAAAAAAGCTATTTATAATTATAATACTATTTATTTAATTATTGTAACCTTAACTTTTATTAATATATTTATTATGATTAGCTAGTTATAATACTTTAATTACTCTTATTTAATAAGTTTATTTTATAAAAACTAACTAAATAATATAAATAATATCTTTTATACCTTAATTAAATTACTTATTTTAAGTTTTATTTTTTTTATTTAAAGCTTAGCTAAAAATAAAAAAAAAAATAAAAATAGCCTTAATAAATATTAACTTTAATAAAGTTATTTTTAAAAAGACGTTTATAATTAATTTTATAAAAAGTTAAAAAGAAAACGTAAATATTATTAAAATATAAACTATATATAATAAAACTATAAATAAGTTTTAAAATTTTAAAATTATAATTTAGTAATTTAAGAACGGCTCTTAGTATATTTAAGACCTAAAAACGAAGTTATTTAACTTAGAGAATAAGAAATAAGTATTAATATCTAAGCTTTTTAAAAAAGTTAATATTTTCCGAGCTATTATTAATATTATTAATACTCCTATTTAAAAAGATAATAAAAACTTAAACTTAGCGTACTTATTATTTATAATAATACCCTAAGTATTTTAAAAACTTCTAATTTAAATTAAGAACTATTAAAATTTTTATTATAAAGATTTTATTAATAAAATTAAAAAGTTATATATATTATTAATTTCCTTAAAAACAAGCCTTAAGTAATTTAAACTTATTTAAAAGAGTACTTTAATAAAAACTCTTAATAAGTATTTTATTAAAATACGTAATATTTATTTTAATTTTTATAAATTTAAAAGCTTTTAAGTCCTTATTTTAGGACCTTAATAAAAATAATAAACTAAGTACAACTTAATATAATTATAATAAACTAAATTAATAAAAGAATATTTTATTAAATTTAAATATCTTAGTACCTAATTAAACCTTATTAATAATATTAAAATATTTATATTTTATTAAGGACTAAAAATAAAATTAAAAATAAATTAATTAAGCTTAATAAACTAAATAACTTTCTTTAGTATAATAAACTTACTATCTAAATTAATAACTAACTTTATAAATATAAAAAAACGATTTAATACTAAATATAAATATTAATAATAATCCTAATATAGTTTTTAAATAACTTAACGACTTTATAATAATTAAATTAATAATTAATAGAGTATTATTTATAAATAATATAACGGATTTATAAATCTTAGTATTATTAAAAAGAGAATAACCGCCCTAAAAAGACTTTAAATACTATAATTATAATAAATTAAGATATATAGCTAGAGATTATTAATAACTTAAGTATATTTAATACTAACCTATTTTAAAAATAAGTTAATATTATAAATAAAAAGTCCCTATGCGTAACTTTTATAAATAGCTTATTATAATAATAACTACTTTTTTATTAAAATAATAAAGAATAAATAGGATACTATTTAAAAAAACTTAAGAACTATAAATAATTAAAATATAATATTACTTTATATATTAAAATCTTAATAATAATAATTAAAAAGAAGAAATACTTACGTATTAATCTTCTTTTTAAAAATAATAATATTAAATATATTATTATTTTCTCGTAAATGCTAAAATAAACCTTATTATAAAAATATTTTTATCTTTTAAAAAAGAATTATATAAAAGCTCTAAATAAATATAAAAAATAACTCTTTAAATTTAAAAAAAGACCTAATATAAAAAAATTATAAATAACCTTATTTATATAATATAACGAAATAATAAAAATAATTTTTTAAAAAAGAACCCTATTTAAATAAAATTCTAACTAAATCTATTTATATAATAAAATATAATAATAAAAATAAAAGTTTATTTATAAAATTAAAAATAACTTAAGGACTTAAAATATAAAAATAGAATCGAAGTAATTAAAAAGCTAACCTCGATTTCGAGATTAAAAATAAAAAATAAATTTTTAATTTAAAAAACGAACTTAAAATCGGCTTTAATAATTATATTTTTAATAAAAATTACTTTATAACTTAAATAAACCTTATAATATTACTTAACGATATACTTAAATAAAGATTAATTATAAATTTTATTTTAATATAAATAATATTAGTTCTAATAAAAATCTAAAGAATTATAATATAAAAATATTAATTTATATAAAAATAATTAAATAGTATAATTTTATAAGACTAATTAACTTAAAAAGTACTTATAATATTATTAATTAAAAGATAGCTCCTTATTTAATATTAAGGACGTATTTTATAAAATATTATTTTAAATAAAATACTTTAATAATAAATATTTTTAATACTTCTTATTTAAAAAAATAGTCGCTTTTATCCTTAAAAATATAATAAGTAACTTATTAAAAATATTTATATTAACGATTAATTACTAAACTAAACGCTTATATACTTTAATAAACTTAATAAAGTAATATTTAAACTAGACTTATATTTTTTATATAATACTAAAATAATAATTATATAAAATAGAATAAATATAAATATAATTATTATTAAATTTATTTTATTTTTAAATTATAAGCTTAAAAAAATAAAAAAATAAATTAAATAAAAAGTATAACTAAAGAATAGATTTTTAAGAATAGATTTTTAAAAACTAATTAAGCTAATTATAAAAAATAATAAAAAGTAAAAATCGAAAATAAGTTCTTATATATAACTAAATAGTATAATAATATATATTTATAAATTAAATTCAAAATATATAAATATAAACTATATATTATAATTAATAATATATATAAAGAAGTTTTTATTATTAAGAGTAATAAATAAACTCGACTTATTATAAATATAAAAAATAACTTATATTAATTATAAATAATAAAAGGAAAAAGGGTTAATTATAATAATAAATATATTAATCGAGAGATTATATATTTTTCGATATATATTAATAATTAATAAAAATAACTATAATATAATATTATAAAAATTAGAAACCTTAATATTATTTTAAAAATCTCGTAATTATAAAAACATAACTTATAAATAAATTAAACTACTAGCTAGGTCCTATAAAAAATCTAGTTATCAAATAGCTTAAAAAAGAGTTTAAATAGATTTTAAATAATACTTAAAAAATAAAAATAAATACGATATATAGCTTTTATTAAAATAATAAAAATAATAAAATATTTATAATTAGTACTAATAATTAAAGATCGTAATAACTCTAAACTATATTTAAAAATACTAAATATATACGAAATTATTTATAAAACTTAAAGAAATAGAATTATTAGAATATAGTAATTAGGATATAAAAATCAAACTTAAAAAGGAGTATAATTTAGGTTCCTCTTTATATA